ACATTCAAACCTTTTTTGAGAGTATGTGTCCTTTGCGGGAAAGGAAGAAAGGAAGGGATCACACATGGGGTTAATGCTTAATGACATGAAGAATTTTCGGATTTGTTCTGAGATTATGCGTGTTGTTCTCAGACCTTCTGGATGCAAACTTAATCGGTGAATTACGGTTTGAGTTTTCTTCTCGGTACTCCTGAGTTTTTCTTACATTTATTCGCTTTAAAGATAATCTTTTATTTTCTTATAGTTCTTTTTAGTAGGTATTGTTTGGGAAGTGATATGTAGTCTAGTGCTAAAGGGCAATATAAAGTTCGTGTAATGCACTAAAGCTGAAATGTCTAGACTCTATGTTCAATGTGCTGGTAGGCACAAAGGATTCAAAAGGACTAGACTTAGATTAACAAATGAAAGGACTAGACAACATGGACTTAGATAGGTTCATTTGGACTGACAATACGACTCTCGGGTAGATTGAGCAGTGAGATAAACATGGGAACCTGCGAGATACACTAAAAGTTAATTATCTAGAACTGTGGCCCAACATTTCCTTGATGTATGGACTCATGTCCTTAATTCCAGTATTGATAGGACAACCGGGGGTTCTGATAAATTATTTATGTAGGAAATTATTTTCTTTCTTTCTATCTGTCAGTCATATGTTGCTTCCTTTGCGTGATTGGAATATATTCGACCTGGAATGCAACATATGCAACTCTATCTCTATGCATATCCATATCTATGAAATTTTTTCTATCTGTTAGTCATATGCTTTCCCTTCTGCGTGATCGGAGGATCTGACCTTGAACACAACATATGCACTCTACTACCTCTTTAACCCCCTATCTATGTTAGTCATATGTTGTTCTCTCTATGTGATTGGAAGACATCCGACCTGGGATACAACATATGCACTTCTATATCTGACTTCTTTCTTAATGATTGAATACTCACGTAAAGTAAGGAGTTCTTTGGAAGTTCTTGAAGATCGGGGTATATCGGGAAGTGGGAAACACGTTCTAGTTCATCTAAAATTCAACCATTTAATAGGTTGTCTGTAGATCTCGCTGCTTAATTTAAGTGGACAACAATATCCTTGGTCGTCGTCAACTAAATGTCCATTTAAGAATATAAATCTCAATGTCTTGTCACTTATAACCTATCCAATTTGTCAACATCCTTTGTGTTTAAGTTAATCACAATACCGGTGATTGACCAAATCCAGACATGCAGGCGTGTACTGATAAGCGATACTGGATTGTCTGACAACTTTGATCCCAAATATTTTTGTTTTTGTCAAATTTGCTCATAGTTTTCCTCTATGCACAAATTTAGGGGAGAATTTAAAAATATAAAAAAATTAGGAAAATCAAAAATCATACAAAAATCAGAAAATTAAAAATAAAAAATAGTGTTATTTCTATTTTATTTCTTGTTCAGAAAAAAAATCCAAAAATATTTTTGTTTTTGTTTTTCCAGAAAATATGAAAAATCCAAAAATATTTTGTGCTAAGTTTTCTTTTAGTTTTGTTTTGTCTTGAAAAGTGAATTCAGATGTAGATGGGACTCATGGAGACTCTATCAAGATTTTTGAGCCAAGGCTTCATCCGTGAGCATCAAAGAATTCTCATTCGAAGGAGCAAGAAACGAAGATTATTCTTTCAACATTCAATCTTTCAACCCCAAAAGGTAGGTGAAGTTGCAATTGAAGATTATGTGACAGATTACATTGAAGCCTCATCAATTAGTCTGCTGCTATCTATGAACCTGCTGAAGTGATCCAGAAGATTAGTTATCTCTGATATTCTTTCTGAAGATTCTCAAGCTGAAAGTCCTATCTTTCAAGAATCAGTACGTCAAGCCTCCTCACCCAATGTGCGTTCAAAGCCAAATTTTGAAGAAAACCCCAACTACTCAAGATGAAGTCATTCATTGAAGATTCATCAAGTTCATCTTGAAGCTGTGAAGAAATTGAAGATTAAAGTTGAGGCCAAGCTCCAAATAAAGATTCACAAGAAAAGCCAGCTACTTTTTAGGGGGAGTGTGTTGGGTCAATTAGAAAAGAAAGCTATAAACCACGGGGGAGATTTTTGGGTCAAAAATATGGTTTATACTTTACTTTTCTAGACATTAATAGTTTATTGGTCGTGTAATATATTTTTGCAGTTGTATTTACGGCCCAATGGGTGTTTACAGCCGTAAACCCATTTACGGTCGTAAACCCATTTATGGCCCATATTCCCCAAGTATATATATAGGTGTTAGGTGGTTGAGGAGAGATTAATGAACAGAAGTGAGTGTACGGCCAAGAGAGAGAGAAAGGAGAATATGTGTGTAAGTGTGTGAATATCGTGTAAGGAACTTCAATCATATCATCAATACATTCAAGATTCAAATTATTCTTCTCCTCCTTCTCTTCTTTTTTGATCTGACATCATCAGTTTGATTGGGATTCCGCACCATCAAATGGATCTGATTGATACTCAAGCATTTTGGTGACTTACAATGATCCTTTTAATTATCACTAGCGCGCAACCTAAGGTTGAAAACCTGTTGTGTTTATTGACATGTTATTATTTCCGTTCATTTCCAGTTAAGTCGGAAATACTTCTGAGTGTTATTTTTTTCATTTAACTGCAAAGCAAAGCACGTTGGTCAGTGAAGGTACACTAATCAATACAGGTGAGTTGCTAACAGGTTTGGAAGCACTGGTGGGCTTTGAGCTGCCAGAAAGAAAGAAATGAAGAATAGCTAATTCCATGAAGGTGACCTAAATGTGATTTGGTTTGTCCTAAAACTTTTCTTATGGTTGTATGTTGAAAATTAAAGTTCTACATGGATGGGAAGGTATGCACCTTTGAATCTAGGTGGAAAAAGCTTTCGCTCTAACTGATAAAAATGGTATGAGGAAACACTTTCATCAGTAGAGTTTAAGGCACTACTAGAAAAAAGGCCTTTTACGACGCTCATTGCGCGTCGTAAAACGCTCAGACGACGCGCAAATGCGCGTCAAGGAAGGCCCTGTCATAAAGAGAGACGACGCGCTTTTGCGTGTCGTCTATAGACGACGCGCTTTTGCGTGTCGTCTATAGACGACGCGCATTTATGACGTGCATTTACAACGCGCGGTTATGACACGCAATGCGTATCAAGGAAGGCCCTGTCATAAAGGAAGACGACACGCATTTGCGTGTCGTAACCTTACGACGCGCGTGTTTATGACATGCAATGCGTATCAAGGAAGCCCCTGTCAAGAAAGGCCAAGTCATAAATGAAGACGACACACATTTTTGCGTAACATAATTTAAAAATTTTTTTTTTAAAATATTTTGTAGATTAACTAATTTTTAAATTAAATTTGCATTTCATATATCATAATAGAAAAAATATATATTTATATATTTATTAATTTTTAAATTAAATTTGCATTTAATCTCTCATAATAGAAATAAAATACCATATACAAAAAATACAATCCATTGCATAATATAAAATAAAATTTCATAGTAAAAAAATAAAATAAATTGCACAAATTATAATATGTGTGTAATTGTCTCCTTCATCAGCCTCCATGTCCAAAGTCGGATCTACCTTCCTAATCTGTATGTATAACAAAGACACATGTGTTAAACTTGTTACCATTAACATCTGATCGTATGGACTCGAGTGTTAAACTTGTTACCATTAACATCTGATTCATAAGTCCTTTCAACAAGATTGTTACCTACATAAATGAAAACAAACAGGAACATTAAGAGCCCAACTATGAACAATTTCACAGGATGCACCAAAAATGATGATCATTAATAACTCCTTTCAAGGATAATTTGGTCTACATAGAAGATTAAACTAAATACAAATCATAAAGAATCTAAAAAACAGTCAAATAGGAGACTGCTATATATTACTCAACTTTATGATCAATTTGAAGCTTACTCTTGTGGTCTAATAAACTGTGTTTGCAAGTAAAACTTACTCATGGTTGCTTTATCAATTGATTTTGACATGTTATGATAGTTTTGTTTGTTTTGGAAGCAACAATTCATCGCCAAATTGGAGACTGTTATATATTGTACATCTAATTGTTGTAAATTCTACCAGAATAGTGCATGTGCAGTTCAATCCTAGACACAAATATCCTAGTATTCATCAGATTTTATCTATCTACAATACAAAATAATCAACATGCCATTGAATTTATAACAGGGGTAAAGTCGGAAAAGCTCCAACAAACTATACCTATTGTCGCAGATTAGTCAGGAAAGTTTTTATTGTCCACATTAGGTCCTTGAACATGGATTTTTGTGGCTATAGAAGAGTCAACATTTTAAAGTTGACTTGATCGGTAAACCTACTATTGCCAACCCATAAGGACCTAATATGAAACAATGGGCATAGTTTGTTGGAGTTTTTCCCTTGATAACAAATATCAGGCATATTTTTAGCAGCAGGTGATGGAACATGATATGAAACTAACCTCCTTGGATGTTGTGCTTGTAGCAGGTGCATTTGATGTCTCTAGTGAACTAGGGCAAACAACTGTTACCATGATTCCCTTTTGGTAAAACTGAAATAATAAGTGTGATTATCATAATTGTAAACTTTTTGATTTTTTATTTAAACATTATACCCTTTCCAAAGAAGAGTTGGGAGTCTATTTCTATTCTAGATTAAATAAACCATCTAATTAATGAAATTAAATGACCATTTTACCCTTTCCAAAGAAGACTTGGGAGGAAAGAAAAAAAGAAGGGAAAACAAGCATAGAATTAGTGTTTTAATACATTAAGCCTGAATTTTTTTTGCTTAACCCATCAAATCATTTTGTGTAGAATAAATCAAGATTAAGTTCTTAACCCATTAAGCCCATTAAGTAAAAAAAAAAACCCTTAATCTAATAATATATATAGTATGTAAATGGATGTTTCTTTTTCATTTCTTGTATCTAATAATATATTAATATATACCTATGTATTAATAATACGGATATAATGAACAATTTAGAATTAAATTTTTTTTTGAGCAAGAAAATGACCTTCCTTGGGGACGTGTAGTTTTTTCACTATTGTCCTTTGGTAAGCCTGTTTCTTCTTCATCATCCTCTGAGATAAGAAAACAAGGATCATGAGTTAACAAATACTAAAGCTTCATCACGATCACAAATTAGTTACTTAAGCATATATACAGTCATCATGTTTTGTTTGTGTTGCTTGCTGTCAAAATATACATGAAATTTTGATTAATAAGATAATTTATGTTAATAAACTTAAAAAAAGAGAGAGAACAGGCTCAAGTGAAGAAAATTGAAGAACTTACCACTTTCAAATTTTTGAGAATATTATCAACCTGTGTAGTATCAAATCCCCATCCGTTTGGCTTATCTAAACCAACACCTGTTTTGCATTCAAGTTAGTGGCAAAAAAAAAAACTTCATTTATATTTTCATACTGTGAGAGTGTGAGGCAAAATCACAAAGCAGAGACTGAAAAAAATGCTAGCCAACATGTCTAACATTGTGCTTATTAAAAGAAATCACTTCAGTCAAAACCATGGAAGATAGACAAAGATCTTGTAAATGATGTAATGCATCGTCTTTATACAGATTTACCTGAACATAAATGATGACCACTTGAAGCATATCTTTCGTAACCAGTCACCCAATAGATAGTTGTTTTCGCATTTCCTAGATCTTTTTTTGTGAACCCAACAATTCCAAGCATACCACGTGACAACATTGTGGTGGTGAATGCCATAGGAAACCTGCATGTGATACATAATTAAATCAAACTGAAATAATGTCCAACATACATAAAGCATCTACCATAGAGTGTTGTACCTAAAAGATAATTCTTAATAAGTCAAAAGTTGGCACTTGCACTAACAAAACCAGCAGAAGCCTAAATTCGGATCTTTAAAGGCACACAATCACTGATATACCTTCTGTTCACAGCTCTAGCTGAACCAAGCCTGTAAATTATATAAAAACCAAAGATTGTCATTATCAAAATAAGGTGTGACTTTTGACTTTTGAGGTCAAAAGTCAAAATAATGTTGCTAAAGCACTGTAAGGAAGTTCATGTCATAAGCCATTGCATACATGACATTACCCATGAAAGGAACAATGTTGCTAAAGATCAATGGTCTGAAATATGATCTGTTTGACCAAGCACTGAAATAAACAGAAGAAAACAATTGTGCAACAACCACGACACCAATCATAATCCCAGAAACTGTTGCAGCAGCTCCTAAGCTTGTTGAATAGTCATATGTTGTTGGCAAAATTTTGTAACAATATAATAAATATACAACAAAATATATAAAATTTATGTTCATAATATTTGGAACGGGAAACAAATAAAAATAATAATCAGTTGCAGCTTGGTATAACTTTTTACATGCAGTTATCGGATCATCTGAATAAAATGGAGGTTATCCAACAAGCATCTCATACATTATTGCACCTAGTGACCACCTGCAATAATAGTAATAGTTAAAAACAATCATGAAATAAAAGAAAATGATAAAAATATCCTCAGCAAATAGTAATACAACACTAATAGCAAATAGTAATACAACACTAAAAAAATCAGACCAACAATCGTGAAGTCCATGTCATGTAGTAAAAAAGAAACTGTATTACAGGGGCTAAAAAAATCAGACCAACAAATAATATTAGAAGATTTCAGCAAACGTGGGTCTGGGATCCTAATGAGACCATACCTACAAGTTTATTTCTTCTAACTCATCAAACATGGAACAAAAGGAAAGGCATCACGTTCTCGTTTTTATTAATAAGGCGTACCAACAAAGCAATTTTCCCAGAAATTCATTTGTCCCCTGTTCTACTTTCGTTCTCCCCTATTAATCTGTATTTTTTTCATCTTCTGTACCTTGGTAATTTCCAGATTATATTCTTACAGGAGCTAGTCGCACTCTAGGGCTTGTATACTGAAACTCAAAGGCCTAGAAGATAAACTATAAATTATCGAATTGATCCTCACAGGCATCAATATTTGGTAACCCTTATCAAATTAGAAGTCACGATATAAAGAAAAAGGAGAAATTAAAGGGATAAATATTGAAAACATAAAGATACATGTGAATATAATCAAATGAAGCATTTCTCACTTCATAAAACATATGTAAGAGGTGCTAAAGACTTAATAATATATGGGGAATTTCATCGAACACTTGGTGTTCATCTAAACACCATGGAAAGACAAAGGTAATTTGCAGAAATCAAACACAGAAATAAAAAAATGGAGTATAGGAGTTGATAATTCATTGAAATATGAATGAAAACAGAAACAATAGAGATGCACAATGGATTATAATTAATAAATCGAGAAGTAAAAAAACAGATGAACATAAATCGATTTAGGGATGGAAGTTACCACTATGAAGGCATGAACATGTTTACTCCTTTCTCTCTCTATCTCTTCTTGTTAAGTTGCTGGCAAGACTTGGCTGGCGACCCCTTTGGCGGAAGATAGCGGGAGGTGTTTAGTACCCTTAGCGACCCATGGCGACCTTCCTAACGACGCCCACTCCTTTGAGCCTGATAATCATATCGAGAGTGCTAGATTCAGATTCGCTTTCTATTCAAAATGTCCAATTTTTTTGCTGGATATGGTCCAAATTTTACATAGGAGCCACCAAATCATTCAAAACTAGAAAAAGATATGTGAAGAAACGAAAAAATAAAAGCATTACCTAGGTCTTTACCAAAGGTGATGACGAGATGTAATCGGGAAGTTAATGGAGCAAAGTTACAATTCTTCGTCTGTGTGTTTTTCGATTAATCTTTGAGGAATCTGAAACAAACGAGAATCAAGATTTGCATTCCTAATATTTAGACTTGAGAGTATAATTAGGGCTTTTTCTAACAACTTCAACATCGAGTGGGAGATATGGTGGTTCCAGTAGGTAGAAGTAAGTGAGGGAAGAAGTAGGCAGCAGTCAATGTCGGGAGGGGGAAGGAAGGAGCGTCCATAATTTGGGCAAGAGGGAAAAGGAGAAAAAAAAGGAAGGCGGGGTTTTTAATTTTTTCAGAATTTCATTTCCCCCTACTGTTAAAGGATGGAACGCGCGTTCCATTAAAAATTATAAAGCGACATCCTTAGACGACGCACATTTTATTATAGGTGCCCTCCGTGTTTTTTTTTTTGTTTAGATACTAATATAAGGGCACGCAATAATGCGTGTCCTCTATTGTTAAATTTTTTGAAGAGATGACACTTTTTTAATGTCACTCTCTTTTGCGTAACATAAATCAATGAGTGTCGTGGATTGCGCATCGTAAAAGTGTCTTTTTCTTGTAGTGAGGGTCTGATAAAGATCAATATGGATATTGGCTGTGTTAATTGCATTCTCAAATTCTCAATATGATTACAACATCCTTCTTCATATTTCAAATTGTGAGGAATGGAAAGGAATTGTTTAATTTTTTATGAGAGACATTTATTACATCTTGAAAGGTTTGAACATATACATTATCCAGATGTAGTGTATAAGCTTAAGAAGCCTAATTAGAAGCTTGGCAAAGCATCACGAAATAGGGATATGCACTTCCATGAGAAAGTCAAAGGGTATTGATTTCTAGATGTCTAGTTGATTCTAAGTACATGTCAAAGCTTGTGAGTTCATAATTTGCATGATGGTATTGCATGTTGACAATAATATTCATAGGGAAAAATTTCTATAGTTTGCAAGTTGCAAAATTTGGGAACTGTTTCGCTAGAGTGAACGTAAGTGAGAGGGTACTCATACTTCATTACAAATCTAAAGGTTTAGGTCGTATAGTTCAACGGAACTAAGTCAAAATCATATATGAATAGTGTGTTGAAATGCTTCAACATAGAAGATTCTGTATGGAAATATTATCGCAAGAGATTAAACAGGTATCAAATTCTTGTATAGATATAATGAGTCGAGTCTCATATTGATCAGATATAGGATCAATTACATATGCTAAAATATTCTCTTATTCTAATTTTTCAAATTCTCTAAGCATTGTGATTAGAATTTGAAGTGACTAGAGTTATTAAAATATAATGTTAAGAACTTTCTGAGGTTTACTGAAGATTGGTTGGTTGTGGACAGTTGGAAGTATGGTATTTTTTTGAAAGGACCATAGTGACACGTTTTGGATTGAGATGATTCTTGGTCATAATTGATGGTCATATGAGAATATGAAAATAATTCCATAATGAGAGATGGGTATATGGAAATTTTTCCATAATAAGAGTTGGTTATAAAATCTATATGTGATTTGGAAACTTTAATGCAAGAGAAGTGTTCAAGGAATGTTCCTTGATTTTGAGATTTCATCACCATTGAATTTTTCTGAGTAACAAGTTCTAGTGGAATATTCTATAATATTAAAGGCACATTTTCTATCACTTTAGAAACTCAACATCTTAGAAGGACAATGCATGTAAAGAAGAGATTCCACTACGTCGTAGATAGAAATAAGGATTAGGAATTGTGAAATAAGCATCATTGGAGTAAAGTCTAGTCGATTTTTTCACAAGGTAAGGACCATAGAGAGGCATAATATGCGTGTTTAGCACATAGCATAACTGATTTAACTTAAGTCAAGTAGTTAGTTGATTACAAGAAACAATCTATAATGAATAAATTTGTAAATTTTATGGTGATTAAATAATAGATATTATTTATATTCAAAGGGGTTGATACCATAGTCAATTAGTTTATTATTGTGTTTCACTTTACTTGTTTTAATTCCTGAATAATTTTATTATTCAAATTCCACAGTCGCTCATACTTTTGGAAGGACTGTATCAAGATTGTCATGAATCGACTGTACATTGTCCATAGAGATTGGACATCGCATGAAATTGCTACAATATTCAGGAGTCTTAGAAAATGGAGATGTTGAGTATTGGATAGACCTACACTTCGAGATTTCTTCATGGATTCCATCACAAGTAATTCTAAGACAATAATATAAACTATTCTTAAAGCAGAGATATATAGGTCATAGTTTAGAAATCAGTTGTGCTTTGGTTTAGTCAAACATATATCGTAACTGGATTTTATAAAGGTTTATTCCATGTGTGATTTGGTGAGTAAAAAGTATGACTACATAGTCAATGTAATTCGTTCCTTTTTCCTGAATAAGGAAAAAGCAATATCTTTGGACCCCTCTGGGATTTGTGTTGATTTATAAGTACCAGGCCTAGTCCATACTAAATTGATGCGTTCAATTTTGTAGTTTGAATTTGATCACTAAATCAGAGACCGAGAAATAAAAAAATGAATATGAGGTTGATCATTTAACCCATGGCTTTATTCATACGATACCTTGAAAATGAAGAAATAGGTGATCACTTATTGGAGTTCGACAATGGCTTCTGAAAGCATTATTTGTTGTTTGGTTATACTTGCAATTGTAGTTATAGACTCATCCAAGTCTGAGACTGTTGGATTAAGTTGTCTAAGCTCATAACTAAATTGGTATAAACTTGCAAATAGAAGCAAAGTCCTTTTTTGGTTGCCCTCATAACCAGAAATAAGTAGAAATGTAATTAGCAGAGAGGGAGAAATGATGTGTCGATATGTTATGTGATTAAAATATGAATTGGACACAAATCATTGATATATTAATTTGTCATGTGATTAATAAGTTAACATGAGATCAATAGTCAAATAATTGATTTATTAATTGATAAATTAATTAGAAATCAACAAGAATTAATTAAATGTTAATCAGAATTAATATGAAATTAATTTAGGATTAACTGGAATTAATTAAAGGTGCAAGGGATGAATTGTAATTGTTCAATAGTTGAAAAAAAGAAGAAATTCTACAACCATCCATGGTATGGACGGTTTTAGCTAGATTCCTAGGGTTTCTAGAAGCCTCCTGCATGCAAATAAGGAAATGATTTGAATTGGGATTAAATCTATTAATTAATCAATTTAAAATATGGCTTTGTCTGCAACTTACCAAAATTATAAATAGAACCCCAAAGACCAATCAATTTTATTCATATCTTTACCTACAAGCTTAGGAACGAAAATTTTATCCCTGTCTTATCTCTCCTCTTTATTATAGGGTTTCTAGAATTTTGGGTACAAACCGTTAGAGGCATTAAGTTTTTGGTGCATGATTTCAAAAGACCAACAAGGAAAGGAATAAGATTTATTTGATATAATAAATCTAAGGTATGTAAATCATAATCCTTCTTGTATTT